GGAGGCACGCGCGGCTCGGCGTGCCGGTGCCGGCGTGCCCCGGGGACTTGGCCCCATGGTGGCTGCAGTGGAAAGCGGTGCTCCCTGTTGGTTTTTTTTTAACTTACGAGGTACAAAATGCAGTACGTAGTGATGGTTGGCTGAGTGAAACTGGTATTGATTGGTAAGAGGGCAGAGCGCCAGGTGAGCAGCCAGGTCAGACGGCCTGCAAGCTATTACGGCATCTGCTCTCCAAAAGAAAGTCCTTTCACTTTGGTTAGTAAAAAGAAAGCACAAAAGCTTTTGGCCTACTGCGAGCAGGATTTGCCAAATGAGCAAATGTGCTCCCTGGAAGCTGCTTCTGGCCCAGGAGGGTTTTCCAGCAGGGCAGCGTGTAGGCGGAGGCCTTTGTCAGCCCCGCAGCGTGCAGGGCTGCAGTCGCTGCTCGGAGCTACCAAACAGGCTTGGAAAGCAACTGTGGCTACGTGTAGATTAGAGCCACTCTCTGGCTTTGCTAACCTCGCTTGCACTGAGGTGACAGTAGGAAAGGCAAAATAAATACAGAAATTTTCTTTAAGTGCAGTATGGCCAAGGTTAACAAGTAGGCCCTGGTTTTTCAAGTCCTTCATTCTTGTTTGTGGAGCTTTGCTAGCTGTAATCTGTTTGGCAAACAAGAAAAATAATGCTCTCCTAGTTTACATTTTATTATCATCTTCCAGTTGCTTAATCAGAGCAGCAGCCAGCTCCTTTAATAAACAAGCCCTTCACAGGCTGCTTGTTCATTAAAATGCATCGAAGGCCCCAATTCAGTGTCCAAATAGAACTCAATTTTAGGTTGGGTCTCCTGGGGTCAAAGGAAAATTTAGGCAGTTGCCAAGTTGCTTGAGGTCTGGGGGACTGAATGCGACATAAATGGGTGAGAAAAATAATATCTGATAAAAGCAATATTAGCATGTTTGAGATGTTTGCTTGATGTGCTGTAGAAGCAGCCAGAAGCCAGACTGCTTCCTGCTTAACTGGAAGCTGAGCATCTTTCTTTGAGCATCATTCCTTGTTATCATTGGTCTCTTGGAGAGGCGGATGGGTTTGCTGTCTTGCTGCACTCGTGAAATATACTTGAAAAGGCCCTCCTATGTCGTTTTTGTAACGGGGAAAGAAAATTGTATTCATTGTATATTCCTGCCAGGTACTTGTAGCAGTAGCTGCTTGTTCAGGAGGTAAATTATTCCTTGTGTGTTGAAATTTAAACTCCCACCATTTTTTGATGTTCGGTGACACAGTACTCCTTTTGCAGCTGAGTAAATACATCTGTCCCAAGAAAGCTGACAGCTGAAACAGCTTTTGCTTTGAAACACATATTCACATCAGCATCCAGATGAGAGTTACCCTGACTTCCTGTGTGTTCACTCTTTTGAAATATAATGGGGGTTTGTGAAATGCTGGACATGTACACCAGGTTTCTTTGTCGTGTGGGATGATGGATCAGAATATCTCAAGATGATAGATCTTATTTTGTTGATGAGGTGGAGAAAGCCAAGAACAGTTCATCCCGAGTACTCTGCTCTGGGTTCAGAGAAGTATCCTTGTGTAGGAAAGCTCATAAGCATTTGCCTAACACTGAGCACCATTTCGGTTCCATTTCTGTCAATGGAAGGAAAGTAAGCATTTGCTTAAAGTTCAAGAAATGTGCAATGCTGGAATTTGTATTTCCAGTTACAGAATACACGTGTCGCTCTTTATTTTTCTTCTGTTCCTGTTATCATTTGGTTAATATATTGCGAAGTGACTTGTTTTATAAATGCTTACATAATACTTCAAGATTTAGGTGCAGTCTTTGTATTTTGCAGTACTCATGGTTCTGCTAGCAGCTAGCATCCTGCCTCTTTTGTATGTTTTTTATATCAAACGCCTTGTGCGGGTTTCTCATCTGTTAAACCGGCAGAAGCACGTGGACGGGTCTGCCAAGGAGCTGGCCTGTACCATGCTGTTTGTGGCCTGCGTGGAATACGTGTGCTTTATCGCTCGTGCCGCGCAGAGACCTTCTTCACCCTCTGGTACGCGTGTCGCCCTGTGTCCTGGCGTGCGGAGGGACCCGGGCTGGGGCGTGCCTCCGAGGGGGGCACCTCGGGCTCCACTCCCCAGGGAGCAGAGCATTACAAAATTGCTGTCAGTAGCTGGTCTGAGCAGGCTGGATTTGAACCGAGGTACCCGGAATGAAGTTCAGGGGCATGCCGCTGCCTCCCTCTGCAGTAACAGGTACTGTTACTCCGAGGCTACCCCGGGGAGCTTGGAAAACGCGGGCGAGCGCTGCAAGCGCGGGCACACCGTGTCCCGCCGCCCCGGGGGCTCGCCTGTGCCCGGCGCCCTGATTGAAACCATCTGCTCGGCGCCCGAGCGCAGGAAGCGCGCCGCTCGCTCTCCTCCGTCCTTCCTTTCTTCCCCGCAAGCGGCTCCGCGCGGAGAGGAGCCCAGCACTCGTAGTTTTTTTGAATAAAAAACAAGCGGTATCGCTCCCTCGGGGTAGAGGGAGGAAGAAGATTGTCAGACGGGGGGCTCGGTTCTCCCCACCTCCTCCTCTCCCC